GCTTATCCTATAAAATAATTAAATATATATTATATAAATCTGTAACATTTTACAAATAAAAGGTAATTAAATGATATAATAAAATTTGGATAAAAAGCTCTTTTCATAAAACATTTATAATAACAATCTCGAAAATACTAATTGAATACACACACATACAATAATATATTTCGAGGGTCAAGAATCGCAAGATAAGATACTAAAATAGAACCCCAAATTTGTGCTGAAGAATTAATTTACTGCGAAATACATTTTCCGCACTTTTGTTATGGTATCCTGCATCTTATACCGTACACGTGTCATGCGTATGAATGAACGAATGAACGATCCGATAATCAGCCGGTGTCTCGATGCACATACGTGAGAGCCGCTTTTACGATGACAACGTGCGGCGATACATAGAAGAGAAGAGCGAAGCAAAAGGTGTATCAAACACCCAGGTAGGAGAGGTGCATACACCTCCTGCGAGCTTACCAGATCCACGGCGAGCTCAACGAGCGGGCAGTTACCTTTCCGTTCTGAGACCGCGAGGATCTACCTTCTTCAATAGTGCCGAGTATCCGAACGTGATCATTATCTCTGGGTAAGTTTCGCGTTAATCGCTCTATAATAATCGCCCCAAATTTCGTGTTTCTCAAAAAGAACACTGACACGGATTTAGTGTGTTTAATTTTTCATATGGTGGTCTAAAACATCTGAATGTTAAAAAATGTTATTTAATATATCTGTGCGACTTTTTTTGTGGCTTTTTACGGAAGTGCTCCAATCTCGTTTGATTCAGGCAGATGTGACTAAAGAACGTATTAAAAATTCACTACAATTATAATACTTATAAAATTATAAATCATACAAATTTTGAGTGTTGCTTATTTTGTTACGTGAGAGAAGTTTGACTTTAATAGTTTCGTTTCAGTAAAGTAATAATTCAAAATACAAATGTGATATTTTCTCTTTTTAATTCTTTTAATTTTGTCTAATTTTGTCTTATGGATTATTATAATTTATACGTATTATGTATATTATATATACCTATATAATTTACAAAACAAAAAAGTATTGTAACTAATTGTTAAAGTTTTAATAAAGAACTCTTACTTACTCAAGATATTTATACAATTATATACTAGCTTTCTTTTAAATTCTTTTTTTTTTTTAAATTCTTTACAAATCCTAATATATTAAAATTCTTTTATAAATCTTAAAATTTTATAACTTAAAATTTTAACATCAACTTTTAATTTCTTAATGCGCTTATCTTGATCTTATATTATCTTGATTTATCATACTTACATGTGTAATGTTTGTGTATGAATATCATTACCATTCTGTTATATGTTTTATGCAAGTGGAATATTAGAGCAACGTATGCAATACATTACGTATGTATTTCATTTTTTTTTATAAAATGAAGATTTTAATACACTGACTGTCAATCTAATAAGAGATTGATTCCATGTAAAGTATAATCATTTTAATGTCGTCAGAGTATTCAGGGCATTGCATTTTAATTCTCACTTTGATAGCTTTTACTGTCGATCACAATTTGTTTGGTACGATAGAGTTACAAAGTGACTTGACAATCTACATTCTAAGCGGGATACTCTTATAACAAAGTGAACGGTTGCATTAATGACTGCGAGATGAGAATGACGTCGCTGACATGAGTGGCAGAAGCGGTGATACAAACAGATTAAAAAAAAAAAATGAAATTTTTACAATTAATTAAAAAGCACGAAGTATACAGTAACACGATGATAGAAATTTTAAACGTACATTAATAAAAATAATAAAACAATATTATATTTATGTTAGAAGTGTTAATAACAAAATATTTTTATTAATCAGCAATTATCACAAGTTCATGATTGAAATGTTCAATGACATCATTAAAATTAGATCAAAACAATTCCGAATAATAATTAAATAATTATACTATCAAATAATACTGTGCATACTATTAATATTCCTATCACGTATAAAATGAACTATAGTTATCAAAATCAATTATAATATACGTAGTTTGGTAAAAACCTTCATGATACCATTTGATCCTTACGTATAATACGACTTCAACTTTCAGTTTTATCCAACTTCAAGTTTCTATGCAGGTAGTTAAGCACAATAATTCAAGCGTGACAGGTCTTAGTTATCATTTTAAATCTAAGAGCAAATGTGTGCAAAGCAGGAATACGCAGAACCTTTCAGTATCGGAAACCGTCAATTACGTTTCGCGCTACTCCCGCGTATCTCAGTTCCGTTAACACTACCGTTCAACGTCCAGTAATACCAGTACCGTTCACTATCAAGGCAAAACGGAAAATTCTTCCGGTTGCATTCGTGTGTTACATTAATATGCAGATTGCTCGCACCGTGTTAAAATATTAGAATGCACGTAATTCATTTTACTATAGAAACTGTTTCCTATACACAAAGAAAGACATATTAACAGCATTAGTTTAATTGAAAATAATCTTGTTAATGTTCAAGGGAGGAGAGTGTAATTTTTAAATCTTAAATAATTGTAAGATCTGTTGTCATTTATTATCTTCCTCGTTTCAAAATATGGCATTGTGACTGCGCTACTATAATACACGTAAAACGATTTTGCTGGAAAACTTATCTAAAATTTTAGCTAAATACAGATCTGAAGATAATTTTGTTAAACTATCAAAATAATTACGTAGAATTTTTAAGCATGATGAGCAATGCTGCAATAATTGACATTCTAGCAATCTCAGTTATTTAATCGTTTTTAATAATATTATTAGTAATAATTACAATTATTTTTACTAATGATTAAGATTATTTTCAATTAAAACAATCTTGTTAATATATCATAACTTTTTCAGTATGTTCGATTTCCTGATTTGATTATTATCAGCAGTTTAGAAACACGAAAGCATGCTTAGGCGCAATTAGAAACTCATTAAAAATGTATTATTGGGGACACATCGGATATATTAACAAGAAATAACTGTCTCGATCACGGCAATTTATATCAGTCGTAAAATTTTCTCCCGCCGTTTCTTCACGCGACTATCACTCGTACACACGCCATCAACTTTACGAGCGAGATACGCGTTATATAAAGGAACGCGTATGAGCGTCAACATAGCCTATGTCGCACAAATTCATCAGCACGTCTCCGAGAACGGTCAGCGGAATAATTAATCGCGTCGATTAATTATCACAAGAAGAAAAACGGGTGTAAAAGATATCTGCATCTCGTATCTGGATCTACTCACGTCTCAGGAGGCTGTTCGGCATATCGCGGCAGCGTACCGATGGTAACATAATGAGATGAAAATGATATCGTGTGAGAACGAAAAGGGATTATCGTCGGCTGTGTTCTTAAGCGATACAACGCTCGTTACGCTTCCCTGAATAAAATTTCGCAACGAAATGATGCCGTTGCGTGTGCGCACCGTACTTGTCTGCATTATATTATACGCGGCGGCAGCATGGACTTCATTCCATCGATTCAACGTTACCTTTCTGGAGTCCGTTTCCCACACCCGGGTATATATCGAGTAATAAATTTCACGATTATAATAATGAATTAAGTGGAGAAGCATGTCGACTGTAATACGCCAATACTGCACGCTGGTTAATATCTGCACAAATTCGCCTATTTCTTTATCTCGTAAAAATTAGGCAATAAGTAAAATTGACCTGTATACTAAAAAGGCAAAGAGAAAGAATCCTTTCTAAAAGATGCGAAAGAATATTTATTATTTCGGCTTATATATGCCAAGAAGAAACTTTATTCAACAATTTCTTCTTTTATCTTCACACATTTTATATTTTTTTTTTACAGAAAGTAATTTTGAAAAGAGATTACTAATACCTAAATCCACACATTGTTTTACTCTCTTTTGTAATCTCTAAGTCCTTTATATAATCAGATATCTTATACTAATTTATATTCACATCACATTTATTCAGTTATTATTGTACAAAAGTCTAGCATATTTTCTTTTCCTCATAGCATTTTTCTTTCTTACCGTATTCTCCTAATAACTAATTTTCCGTACCTATCTTATCCTCTTTATTCTTCTTCATCTCCTTGTTCCCTCTTTCCACAATTTCCATAGAACATTGCTTTTTTCGCAGTATCTAAATCTTCATTCTGTAACCTGCTCCATATTTCCTCTCTATCCCTAATCCAATTCTATTATTCTATACGAATCAACTCCCAATTTCTCTTTTCTATTTTCACTAATTTGAGAGAGCGTTATGTGCTTTATTATGTGTAAGGATATTCGCGGAAAAAGCAGTTGAGGAATTTTATATAATATGTGAGTCACATATGCGACATATGTGAACGTAATGACATTGCACTATCATTACTTTCAAATAAACGGAAAGTGAAAATACATGTTTCGGACGGTCGAAGGATTTAACCCGTAACTGGAATGTATGAATCCTGACGATCCTACGATTTTTCCTAATTTTTAAATAGTAATAATTTTAAATAATTTTATATTTTTCATAATCTTATTTGTCACAATTTTGAACTTGAAAAATTCTTAAAAAATTAGAAGTAACAACAAAAAGTTTCGCGAATTCTGTGTTTTTTTCGTGTCAAATATAATTAGTTAATTATTAATTTAACTAAAACAAAGAAATTGAACAATTTTATTACAATTTTTTTTTAATTTGATTTAAAAGTTTATTATTTATTAAGCGCGTACGTTAATATAGAATCAAAAGGAATTCGGAATTTATAGTACACTGTTAGATATATGTATATCAAAGGAACAATGGTAATTGAATTCTTGAGTTGAATAACTTTTTATTATTTTGACACATATAAAAGTTAGAAATAATAAAAAGTTATTTAACTCAATATTGGATTGCTATTGTTTCTTTCACGTCTAACAGTGTACTATAAATTCCGAATTTTTTTTTATCACAAAATAATTAACGAAGTCCATAGTCGAAAAATAAGTTCGATCTTTCAATTTGCAGGTAGCTCGAGAGGAACGAGCCGCCCGAAGATGACGCCGATCCTGTTTGCGTGCGCTATTCTCGCTGCGCTCTCACACGAGACGCAGGCGATCTCGTCGTCCTGGCGACCGATCGTGCCGGGTCTTCCCGACGGCGCAGGTATACTGCATCAGGAAGCATCGATTTTCGGAAACGCGCCTACGCAGACGCTCTACGAGGACAGTCCTCATCATCTGCTGCTGCCACACGACCAAGATACATGTTCCCTCTATAAAGTCAGCATGAACCAGCAGCTATATTTCGAGGTATGTCACCACAAGAACAACAATACATTTTTATATCATAAACCGAACATACATTTTCGTACATTTTCGCCGAGTTTTACAGATACAATAGAATAAAGCAATAAATAGTGGTACAGTAAAAAAGAAATAGTAATTCTATAATCAAAAATCGGATCTTCAGTGATGATTTTTGATTGTATACACATATCGGTTAAATATTGATATTTGGAAAATATTGGAGTAATATTATCAACGAATGTGCTATTAAAAAGTTTTAAAATGGAGACGGCATTTGATGAAATGGAGATGACAAAAGTTTGATCAAGCGAGTATCGCAAGAAATTATTAATTGCTTCTATCCAAATATAATATAATACTCGTTATAATTGAGATTGGTAATTTGCTCGCTCGATATTGCTAGCTTTAAGCAAAACCAATGTTGACAGAGATGAAGAAAAAGTTTATGAAATGTAGGGCATTTCGAATCGTGTACGCATCACTCGCAAATACATACGAAACGAGAACGATCATGACGGTCAGATGGTCAATATAGTCTTATGCATGTAGGATGTTTGTTTTCCATGCGATAGGACAGTGCTCGTCTAGTTTGAGTTTCGCTTATTAATATTGTTGTATGTCTACACTCACGTGTATAATGCATTTAAAAATAGGTAAATTAAGCAATTGCCATTGCTTAATTTAAATTAGTGCATGCTACAGTAGCGATTGAATAATAACATAGTTAGAGAAACACTAGCCTGCTAATTAGAATATAATTCTGGCATCATTTGATGAATCATTTGTTATTTTGTATAATACGATCTCATTATAATTTATCGATGTGAAATAATTATTGTAAATACAGAGAGAAAAACAGTGGTGATAACTATATAGATGACAATTATACAAGTTTTATATACGGAATTTTGTAATTATTTTATAATTATTAATGACATTACTTTTAATTACATTTATTCTGTATAATATAAAACTTATATATAGCTGTCACCTATATAACTGCTATCATTGTTTTCCTTGAACGTATAATTTGATGATTACTGATAAAAATTAAAGAATAACATCAAGTTGCCAATATGAGCCGACACCAGGTGACTGCGCGTGTTGAAAATTTTTTCTTTATTAATTAATATAAATCCATATGTTTCGACCTCAATCTGGGTCCTCTTCAGTGTAATATACAAAGAACTTAGAATCTTTAGAGGTGTTATCAGTACTAATCAAATCCAATAGAAATCAATGAAGTTAAAGTTTCACTATAAAAAATACATTCGTTATTAAAATAGTCGCTATTTTGATTTATTCATTTGAGCCTTCGACGATTCTCGAATTAATTTTGATAAAAATTAGACTCTTTTATATAATAGTATACATATCATAATTTTAATTTAATATACTAAATTATGTCATATGTACACAGAATATAAAAATTATGTTACCTTTATACTTTTCAACGAATTTAGTCTTTTTCCATTTAGAAAGTTATCTTACAACAAAGTGCATGTCTATTAAATAAATTGTAAGAATTTATGACAATTTTCTCGGCAACAAATGATCTCTTCGCGAATCACTTGCGCGGTTCTTGCTTTTTTCTTATTTTTCCTTTCTTATTCTTCCTCTTCGTCACACCCTTCTTCTTTCTGATCTTTTTCTTTTCTTTTTCTTCTTCCTCATTCTCATCCCCTTCTTTCTCCTCTTTCTTTCTTCTACTTCTAACTTTTCTCTTCTTTCTTCTGGGTTTTTTTATCTGACATTGTACGCGCTAACAGTACTTATAATTAGTCCACACAACAGCAACTCGTGCGTCTCGTGTGTAACTAACACGGAATTCCGTCGTTCACGTGCCACGTGAAGTATACTTCACGCTCGAGAGAATGCAACTTGGCATTGCATTGGGAGCGCTGGAATGACACGCGTTCTGCGGCCAACGAAAGTAAGAGAAAACACTCTCTTGCGAAGTACCGGATGATTCCCTTGGGGCGCGTTCGAAACGAGTTCTGAATTATTATCAATCGCCGTGATCCCGAAAATGGTAAAATCCCGTTGCCTTTCAATCGATTTCTCAGCCACGATATTCGGATGTCGTTATGCCTTCTGTACGGTTCGTTAGAGACAGAATGCACAGGTGCACTTCCATACATTTTCGTTTTCGATGTAACTCGACAAACGAGAAAGTGAACGTTCTATCTAAGGTGAATTACTTGCTCGTCTGATGCGGCAGCAGCAATATTCCCGGGCAAATTTGTATAATAGTCAGGAAAGTCACAAGATGGAAAATTTTAGCTTCACTGATTGCGAGGAAGTTGGTGAAGATAAATTACCAAGCGATGTAAAATTATATATCGCATATAAGAAATCACTTGCGATATCATATCGACGCTAAAATATAGTTATATAAACGCGTTTAATAAAAGCAATTTTGACTTATTGTGATAAGATTTATGAAGATACTACATTCACGTGGGGCTTAGATATTTCTTGTATTACGAGTGACAGGCTATTGATTTAAGGAGAAAGGAAGTTAAACTACTCTGGTTCATTTAGAATGGTAATATTAACGGCCTTCGCCGATATGGCTGCACGCGTTTTTGTTTAATCGAGTGAACGTTCTTGTACAGTAAAAATTAAAACGCAATTATTCAAATTAAAATGCAATTGTTTACTGTTTCTCCAAATGCTGATTAAAATATGTAAAACAATGAATATAACAAATCTTGAAATATCAAAACTACTAACTTTGAATATCTTCATATTGAAAACGTTTATATGCGTGCATGAATATTTTATAATACGATTTAAAACATGATTCTCTTAAAAAATGGATATTAATATAATATTACTATGTAGTGCAATGTGTCATCGTAATTTTTGTGATAATATGACCAAAAAAATCGCTAAAGTTATGAAAGTAAAAAGATCGAAATTTTCATTTAAAAAAATATAGACATTGATATAATATTATAAGATAATGCAATACGTCATACTATTTGCAATTATAATACGACCGAAAATTATTGAAAATAATAATTTACAAAAAATAAAAAATATTATAGAAATGGGATTGAAAACCAAAACTTCCATCCGAACAATTTCGCAGAGAAAAAATGAACATTAATATAATATTAATATTATATAAAACAATGCATCATCACAATATTTGTGATATGATCGAAAAATATTCAAAACAATTATTTAAAAAACGAAAAAAATGTAGGTATGAAATACCATAGATATGAAATACCAAAACTTCCATCCGGATAATCTTACGGAGAATAAATACATGGGGCGTGATCGATGTGATAAAAGCTGGCGATGGAAAGTGCGAGCGCAGTGTATTTATTGTGCTCGTTAGACTACTCGAGTCAAGATGATATCTGGCGTCGGAGAGCGTCGTACAGACTCGACTTACGCCAGACATAATTGCAATCGCAAGTGCGAGGGGAAAAGAGACTATCGCGAAATCGCGGATCGTAAATGGATCCAAAGGCGACCGGAACAAAGGCCTGCCAGTGCGACTTTCTACAATCGTTAATACGGCGATCATTTTCCCCGAGGTAGAGGGACGCCTATCACCCGATCGCTCATCAGTTTCATTCTCCGTCACAATTAACGGCAGCGCGGACGCCTCTCATGACGATCGATAATGCCTGGCGGGATATTAAGCACGGCTGCCAATTCGTGGAAACGCGATTTGTGAATTTATCACACGGAGAAAATCGAGAGCGACACGTCGATACGTTTCACTAAAAGTGGCGGCGGAGCTAAATACGGAGGCGAAACGAATCGATCTTAAATTACGGCGGAAGCACTTTCGTATATAGGAAGTACCGTGGTGATAAACGCGAGATCGCTATTTAAGGCGAGTTGTTTTCGATGTTCTTATTTGAGCGATCCGCTACACTAATGAGAAACGTTCGTTCGAATAAATTAATGTATATGTATAAATGTCGTCCCTACTTAATCCTTCAGAACTGACGAGGGTTTATGAGATCCACTATGCAATGATTGTTTAGCTAATAAAGATTTTGATGAGTAGAAATAATTCAGCTGTTCTTGTAAAGAGATATTAGATTTAAAAAAAACATTATTACATTTGAATTTACTACTAATTCTTAATTTTTGTGTTTGTTACTATTATACAGCAATGGCCACTTTATTCAAAGTGTCAAACAATTCGATTTTCTTTATGCAAATTAAGATTGTTCTCATTAAAATAAACTTAGTATTCATTTTTTTGTGTCACTAATTAATATATTGTATATTAAGAATATTACGCATACATTTTTAAATTTCCAATTCCAATCCACTTTTTGCAAAGACTGTACATCTAAAACATCTTCGAACATCTATCACAGATCCAGGGACAGTAATTGTATTACAAACTTACGGCGTTAGCTTCGGGCAGATTAATTGAAACATTTGAAACATGTGTCTAGCAATAATACATGCTTAATCATAATGTCAGACGACATTTTCTATTCGGATATTAATAACTGTAGTTGCTGATGGAGAACCGCGCAAGACCGATCGCGTGACGTTATAATTCGCCATGTCGATAAGTCACGGAAATTGCAGGTACAAATCACCTTAATGCAAACAGTAGGGAAATTGAGCGAGTAGTATCGCCGGGTATACGATTGAATATTTCATCCCGCCCGTCAAATTTACGGTCTCCTCTTAGAAGCCGGCTGAAACATTGCCTGTCAGGTGCCGGCTAACGCAACGCGCGGTGACGCGCGTATTTCTGTAGCGCCCTAGTATAACGCGCGGGGAAGTTTATGCGAGCTGACGACCGTAAAAGGAACTGGACGTGTGCTGGCGCAATCTCGATCGCGGTCGCCGCCGCGCCGTTGTGATTTTGCGGCCGCTTTTGGCTAAATCTATTCTGCATACTGCGAGTCCTTCCGTTCCCCTTAGAGAGAAACCACGAATACAAGAAGCGGCTCTACGCCACTCTTGCATCGACAACGCGTAATCGATTAACCACGAGCTCATGAAATCGCTGATAAAAAAAAAAAGCAGGTATTCTTATTAATGTGTGTCTATTTCGCTTTAAAAAGGACGTGAGTAATAATAATGGCACTTGAGGAGAGATCGGTTTAAAAGCTGTACGAAAAACGCAATCTGTGAATCCGGCTCTATGGACATAAAATCGAAATGCGGAAATCCCACATAAACTATATAAATAATAACTTAATCGCGGAACTTTTAGAAAAACGTAACCATTTTCAGTGTACATATAACTTTTTAAATAAAAAAAGAGATAATGGATAAAATAAGAATGCAAATAAATGTATAAATATGCAAATAAAGTCGCAAAACTAGAAATGTAATATTTTCCTAAACTTGCGACCTTTATGTTATAAAAATCGCAAAGCTAGAAATATATTTTTCTAAACGATTTGCAGCTCTTGTATAGCGAACAGATTTTTTCAATTTTTGTCATATTTAACATACATAATATACAGCCTTGGCCAAAGATATTGGGCATCTAGGAAACAAAGATATGATATTTTAAATCATTTGTATCATGTTTACATGTTTCTTAAAAAATTTTGGCAACAACCCCATCAAAATTTTAGCTTTAAGGCAGTATATATTGTAATAATGATTATTATATTCTTACAAAGAGTAAAATGTATTTTCATTAATGTGTCTTCGATCTCGTCATATCTCATTCATCTGTTAAATTCGTGTCATGAAGAATTGTAGTCCAAATACAATATTTACTTTGTCAATTATAATACCATCATTCTTTGCAGAAAGTAATTTTACTGCTTAAGACACAAAGTATATATTAAGCGTATCTGAAAGCGGAATATTTGTTCGTAAGAAAAAAATCGGTTTAAAAGTTGTAAGAAAAAATATAGTCTGAAAAAGTTCTTTGAGAATAAAATTAAAACGCGGATGTTCCGCATAAATTTCGATAATTTTTTCATAAATATTAAAAAACAACATAACATTTCAGTGTATACATTATATGATATACACATTTTATATCTTTACTGGTGAATTAATAAACGAAAAAATTAGGATTTTATTAATAATAAAAAAAGATAACAAGATACAAATGCAAATAAACATGCAAATAGAGAAAAGCTGGAAATATAATTTTTTCCTATAATGAGTATGGTACGATTTATGATAGATATTTTCAATTATTTCTTATTTTAAAAAATGCTGCATTATATTCTTAGAAAAACAAAAGTTGTCATTAATATCTGGTTTATCGTTATTTATGTTTTTATATAAAAAATAGTAGATTAGATACACGATATTTGCTTGTCAATTATTATATCGTGATTCTGCACGAAACAATTTCATTACCTAAGGCAACATATGTCTTGTTCATCAATATATACCTATTCGATATATTATACATATACACATAGATATGTCCCAGAGTTGAGCACTGTTCATATATAAATTTCAATCGATCGATGTACCACATCAACTACCAACATAATCGACCAATTCAGATGCGCGCGATAATTGCAGTTCTGAATTAATTAAAGGAAAATCTATGCAATTGTATTTATGTTGCATTATGTATCATAAAAAGTATATTACAATCTCTCTCGTTAATTCCCTTTTCTTCCATTACGCGAACAAGATGGTTCTATTTGGCACCAACTCGACAGATAGTCTGGAGACGCTAGTGAAGATGTAACTCAGATTCTCATGAAACTCTAATCATCCACGTCGAATTGAACAACAGTTGCTCTCGTACGCCACGATTGTTCGATTACGTTCGCTCGATTACACCCGCGGGAACGTGCTCGCTCACGTTGCGTTTACCTAACGTTCATTTAACCGCGAGTCGTAGGGATCGACGCCGATTAATAATGTAAGGTCGGTATAATGCAAGTGATGCGTACGCGATAGAGTACACATTACAGCGATTAAATCACACGGGGCGCATTAATCTTCAGCGGCGTGCCACCGGGTGCATTGACAATTCGGATTGCGATAGGCACACGAAATCAACGTCAGCCATTGCTTGCTGATGCGATCTAACGGTATACATATAACTATATACATTTATACACATATATGTAAATATAAATATATATTAGGGTGGACCGAAGAAATTTTTTTTGAAAATTAATTAGCAATACCCTCCCCCAAAAATTAGCTATGGGCTTCAATATGATCTGGATAAAATTTCATCGAAATCGATTAATTTATTGAAATTGTTCCTTGATAGTGAAATTAGTAAATGTATGCACTTCTTGGATATTACAATTCACGTGCTACAATACAAAATCAAAAAAAAATGTTTGAATTTCGATACAATTTAATACTACCTGATTTTTTTGTCGCTGAACACAAATCCAAGGATAGAAGTACACATTTCAAAATGGCGAATCCAATATGACGACATAAAATAATAAATCTTATTTCATATCTACATCTACCTGACGAGGCAGAGGGAAAACTAAATCAAACATAATGAATAAATTAAACCTAATTAAGCTTAACAAATCAGGATAAGATAGTATAATACATAAAATAATATTTCAGATTTAAATAAACCCAACATTGGCAACAGAAAAATTTAAGAACAAATTATAATTACAATACATTAAAAGCAATGACTTAATTTTTGCATTATGTATTACATAACACAAGCTCTCTACATTCTTTGAAATAGAATCTCATTCTAAAGAGAATCTCACTCTAAAATTGAGTCAGTCTTGAAAACGAGTGGATCAACTTTCAATCTTTAAAAGTGAAATTTTACTCTTCAGAATAAGATTTACTCTAAAATTTTTAAAGAGTGCGTATATGTGTGTGTATGTATATATATATTTTTTCATTGCAGTATATCCACTATAAGGTGGACCTGCCAGATATGAAGGAGTTCACCCTCTGCATGTGGACGAAATTCCATAATCACTCCAACGACCATCCCTTGTTCTCTTACGCAGGTGAGTGTACGTCAAAATATAATACGAACACGTTCTTTCTCCTTTCACCTTTTATCACCGCACGATATATCGAATGTGAAAGCGAAAGTTCGCTGAGTGTACCATTGAAAGTAATATTGTTATCATGTAACGGTATTATAAACATCACAAATTAATTACGGTATTAACTTTCGGTGTTAATAATACTCAATATAATGTCGATAAATTTAGGAAATATCAGTTCGAGCTAATAAACAATTTTATTTATATGTAAAACAGTTAGTTTTTGTTATATATATATGTATCAAATTATTTAAGATAAAAATGCTTTATGTGTATAAAAGCTTATAATAAAAATCACTTTTATTTATCTATATCAATATGATAAAAAAAATTATTTTCAAAATTGTTTTTAAAAATATTATAGTATTTATGTGGACAAATAGATTATTTATAAAACTTTTGTATAAAAATTTTTTTTAATTTTGAATAGTCCTTTTAAAAGCTTCTATTTTTTGTAAGAAAGTTATGCGAGATTTGGGGGTTTATTTTCGTGCCTCTTAATACACTATCAAATGTCAATGTATCGCGAACATTGCACTTTATTTTAGCAGGGTGAAAAACAATACTAAGGTTCTCTGAATTTTCTTTATATACACTATTCCGAGATAAGAGTAATCTTTAATATATAAGGAATCTTGAATTTATTGAAATATAATAGAACACAAAAAACTAAAAACCATTTTATATAATAAGGGATCATTTCATCTCTCAAAATCATTTATTAGTCCCCACTGATATTTTCTGAAAAAATTCATTTATTTATATAACTCATACATATACAAAAGTTGATTAAAATCAGAATTTAAAATCTCACACGAGGTTCTCTTGTAAGATAGTAACAAATTTACGATGATTTAATAATATACTCCATTTTCTGTTATCGGAGTAATTTATTCAAAGGACGAATAACCAAGACTTTTCTTTTTACATTGGAAACTTGTTATCATTGTGGAAATTCACGTTCCTTAAATTACAGTGTGAGTTATTTGATTAACGAATTTTATACACAACGTACACTAATTTACCTTTGACCTAGTTCCTCGTAATTGATATATTGTTTACTAATACAGCGGAAATTGCGGATAAGCAAACAATAAACTTGCAAAATGAACTGGTGCATTCTATTGTCAATACTTACATACATAATTAGCAAAACTGTTAAAAACAGTGTGTTTATTTTTCATATATCTACATATAAATATCGTAATAAACGTGCGATATTCACGTTATTTATATGTAGATAAATGAAAAATAAACACAGCGACTGTTTTTAACAGCTTTGCTCTAATTATATTTCCCAAAATAATTTTTTATTCGTGGAGTAGAAAATATCTTTCCATTGAATTACGGGATATTTTTTTAAACAAAGTTTAACAAATTACGTTTAACACTAAAATGTCGATAATGGATCCACTTTTTGCTAAACCTAAAATTTAATAAACTCGTACGTGCACTTATTGATCCATCATAATATATTCTTCAATACGGTACAGCGATCGTTTCCACATGTAATAAATGCGAAATAAAGTTTCGCATCAAAATGCTTCCAGAAAATCTAACATAAAGTTTCATTAAAAAGCTTCTACTAAATCTAGATCATGGAATACTGCAAACAATTTATTGTAAATAAATATTTAAAAAAATTTAATTGCAAATATAGTATAATCTCCAAACAACGCATCATAAGCGATTAACTGTCTTATTCAGTTGCATAATCGATTCCTACACAATACTCTCTCTTTTCATAGATCGGTGATTAGCTTAAGTTACAATCATGCCGTCCCTCATGTCGTCGTAAGAATCGATTTACGCCCGCATGCATTATTATTCGCGTGCGAACAATGACGTTGTCCGGCTATGTTTTCAATATGCAGTTTAGAAAGGTTCCGTGCGGTTTGTGGCTTTTTTGTACCGGCAGAAAGTTCTATACATACACACACATACGCTAGGTATTTTTTTTCTTTTTTCTTGAGCGCAGGCGTGCGTGACAATAGGTGGATATGCGCGGTGTCATAAATACACCAACAATAAGTCCCTACCTTCACATATATCTAAAAATGTTTCTCGGCCTCCAGAATCAATAGGGGATACTGGAAATGTATCATTGTGAGAAGTAAAAGTACCTTTAATATTAAATCCACAAATAATTTTTAGACTTGATACGAAAAACACACAGCGATAAAAATTAAGTAATTATTATTTATATAAATCTTGAAAAAAAAATAAACTTAATTTTAATTAATTCTTTCAAAACTATTAAACTTTTCAAAACTCAGCTTCGAATTAAAATTATTCATGACAGTAAAATAAGCTGTAAATCTGTTACACAAATGATAATCCAAAATATAAAATTTATATTAATTCTAAAAGCGTAAAATAAAAATAGATTATAAGTATTCATAATTATATTTATAATTGAAAAATATTGTAATAATGAAATATAAATATTACATGCTAGAAATTATTTTATTATTTATATAAAATTAACATACTATATAATAAAATACAAAGTTATCTAATTTATAATTTAAATTTTTGACCATCGTTTAATTTTTTCATTGCTTAATAATAAATAAATATTGCATATTGAACATGATATTAACATTCGATTAAAAATAGACAAAATAACATGTTAATGTTAATCTTAAATTAAAGTATTAATTTAAAATAGTGTGTATAAAGTACAAATAAAAAGGTATTTAATATTTCTTCACCCATCTGTTCTGGAACGAAAGCGTCCGAAAACATGAAACGTGTCCGTGAATGAAACTGTCAGAATCTTATATGCATCTGCATGTACAACTGCTAGTGTTCTCGACGGTTACCGTCCCTAATAGAAATGTTACATCCATTCTACTTGCACGCGGGAAAACCGTTTTCCTCTTTCCGCGTCGCAGACAGGATAATTTACACCCTCGACTTTCAGTTGGCGACCAACCACGGGGGATACTGTCGTGGGTCGCAAACACACCAAGGAGTTCATACTACATGCTCAACGTCAACGGTCATAATTTATACAGATTGAATTATCCGCTGAGACTTAATAAGTGGTACCACTCTTGCACAAGCTGGAACGGTCGCACCGGGGAATGGCAGATCTGGGTCAACGACGAACGCGTAGGTCGCGGGTTCAACAACAGGGTAAGCACGATTTTATTTTGCTTTTGGCACCACTATCGCTTTGTTTCTTAACGTATACAGATTGAGGGGTACACTCTAAATTCTTTAGAGAGGAATCTCATTTTAAAGAGTGAAAATTGAGCCAGTCTTGAAAAAGAGTGACTCAATTTTCAATCTTCAACAGTGAAAGTTACTTTAAAAGTTTCAGAGAGTAGGTAAACAGATTGGTACATACAAAAGGTTTTACTAAAGTATCTAAAAATTTAGGTAGATTCAAATCTGAAAACAATTTTTGTTGAAAACAATATTAAAAATAATTAAGTAAAACGCTTAACCTTTAAGTACCTAAGTAAATGATCATAGCATTCCATGCATATTCTTAAAACTTTTGTTCTGGAAAAGAAAGTAAAAAGTATTGTCCAGTCTTAAAATTCATTGTTTTTACATTTTTCTATTTTAAAGGTATAAATAATATAAAAACTACAAACATAAAATTGAAAAATGTAACCATAAAAATAAATTTTTTCAGACTATTCCAAGCACCTCACCTATATTTGTCAGTTAAGCATTATTTTGACAGTTCAAAATAAAATTATTTTCAGATCTGCATTTAACTATACATTTAAATACTTCAGTAAAATCGTTCTTTCCGTGTAGAAATAGATATATAGAGATATCGAAAAATATGATAAAGATAAATTTTCAATTTTCCTAAAGTCCAAATTGACAAATAAAAATTTGAATTGAATAAAAAGCTTTCCCTCAAAATTAAAAATCGTCTGTTCTACTTTGCACTATGTGCTATTTCGAAAGTTTCTCCTGGCTCACCTATGTTTACACGCAGCTTAGTACTTCGAAAACTTGGAAACTTTCGTCGAAAATACGTAATTTCGGCCGCGTTGAGAGGAAGCCATTTGCCTCTCATTTACTGAGAACGTGTTCTCGTAACTTGTAACGACATGGACCTAACTATATACTAACGTGAATTCGACAGAAGCGTTGAACAAAGTTGTTACGTTATTCGAAGAACTTATTACGAGATCGCCCAGCATTAACCTTCCATCCTCCCCCCCGAACGATTTTAGGACTTTGAAGTTACAATTGCTGATGATGCGTAAGAAAACGCGTCAAATCTCTTGAGATTTCACTTCTCGTGCCACGGTAAATTTAGGTCATACAGCAAGCCCGACAATGATGGTGCAATCATGGCGCATTGTCCTCGGTATTCTAATAAGAAAGATTGCACCGGCTGTCTCTCGCACTAGAATCGACTTTTACAATCATACCGCTAATCGCTAACTCGTGTTTTGTTGTCATTCCACGACTAAAATAGTCTCCGTCCTACTCACGCAAACATCATCATTTGACTTTAATTAAAGCGCACACTTTTATTTTTTTCAATCTTGCTCTCGTAAACTATATTTTTACTTGTAAAAAGAAACCAATATATCGGATGCATCATGATTAATTTCTCTAATGAAACTCAGAAATACTCTGAATAAAGTTTCGAAAACAAACTATTTTCATAATTCCGCTGAAATTGGGAAAACATTAATTTCGAATTAAAATGAAAGCGTTTGAAAGAATTTTTATCGACTCTTAGGGAAAAATTATTTTTTCAACATAAAATAGTAAAACGAGTATATGTCTAATTTTTCGGTAGTAGAAATCATTCTCGAAGGGAAAGGGAGATGAAACCCACTGCATCCGTGTGACAACAGTATGACGAGGTTCAAACGCTGCAACTTTCCGTGTAAAGCGAGGGCCATCCAACACACTCTTCTCTTCCCCAATTAACATAAATACTAATTAATTTTACTATTCCATTTAAAAATGGCTTTTCTATAAGAGCCAAAATCCCTTTAAAGGCTTTTATTTTAATATAAACTGATGCTTTTTCCATCGAAATCAGAGATAGTCGGACAGAACATTATCCTAATTATGGAAATAAAAAGTTGACCAGTTTAAATTTAGCAATTGCTATATATATACAATCTTTAAAAATAATCTTTTAATAAATACATAGTGCATAATCGAAAAAGTCTAAATACAAAATAATATACAATGCTAATAAAAATAATGATACTAGTATCTTTCTAATAAATATTATGTAGATCATTATTGTATTAGTATTATTCTTTATACAATATACTTTATCAAAGTTTTTTTAAATACAGCACATGTGGACGAAATAAAAATTCACTTAATTAATAGTTTTGACAGTAAAATGTAAATCGGGAAATGTGATATGCTTGTAACTTGTAATCAAGTATTGCTAATTATAGTGCGGTATTATACAGTGAACTTACGGCGCGAATGTCAACGGCGCACACGAAACGAATACGAAATTAATTAACCATTGGAAAATGCTTTCATTATTACGCGTTGCGGCATGACTATTTCTGGGTAGAGAATGAGCGTCTGACAGTATACGTGGCTTTACTACTGCGACACGGAAAAATTTATGCACTAATAATGTTACTATGAAGTTCGTATCGTTTTCCGATTTTATATAATTTCTCGGTTTCCTTGCGGTAAATGAAACTAAGTAAGATTGACTTAATTTTAAAATGAGTTTAATATCTATATATTCCATTGGATACATCTGTTAAAAAGATAATATAGTTGTGTGTGTGTGTGTGTATGGATCGAATAATGAATTTTATTTAATTAAATTAATATCCGCTCAAATAAATTTCCAAATTAAACTTAATATACCTCCCAGGTCAAGAACAAATTGAGCTTATACTAGTTGTTAGAAATATATATAAATTTATTGTAATAATAATACCGGTATATACGGACAGTTTCAACTTCACAGAGTCCTCAACAGCCGCAACCAAATTCTTAAAATTAAATTTAGTACATGGTCTAACAATGCGTGGGAAAAATAATTAAGGGGACGTTATTTTCAAATTATTAGAGTTGCGTTTCAAGACCGACTGTGTTTGGCGCGCAATTTTTGGGGGAACTTTTCAGATAGATTTGCGTTTGAAGACCGAAGATTGTTCGGTGCGTTAGATAGGGGGAGAGGGAACATGTATATTATTTAAAAATATTGCGAAGAATATTACTACGTCGACTCGCCATCAGAGGTCTATCGATATTTGCGAAATTCTCGCAAGCGCTGAAATACGCATATATCGCTTTATATAGAATCTCGATTTAATAACTTACACCGGCGTCTAAGGTAGGCTCCCACTACATTACCTTACTGATAAGTCCAGTAGTGGAAGCCGGGACGAAACGCCAACTTGTGATATTCTTCGCAATATACTAAATTTAATTTTAAGAATTCGGTTGCGGCTGTTGAGGACTCTGTGAAGTTGAAACTGTCCGTATATACCGGTATTATTATTACAATAAATTTATATATATTTCTAACAACTAGTATAAGCTCAATTTGTTCTTGACCTGGGAGGTATATTAAGTTTAATTTGGAATTTTATTTAATTGTATCACTCTTCGTATAATTGTATTTTTTATTCGAAATATTCATTGTGGTCAAATTATTTCATGCTAAAATTTGACTCTGAAATTTTAAGATAAACTTAATTTTTTAGAATATCTATTCTAAGATATAAGTACGATAAATAGTACGCGAATTTATATTTTACGCTACGTGATGTACCGGAAGTGTACAAATGTTATAAAAAAATCGTAAAATTTTGCGCAAGAAAATCTCGTAAAATATTTTATATATATACCATATTTATGGTATACCATATTTATACATAATTATAAACAACAAAAAACTATTTATTGAAAAATTGTGTTTTTTTTGTTAAATGCGATGTTACATTCCATGTGTAATGATAATTTTCAAGAATTTTCATGCAAAACTAAATTTTGCAGGAAATTAAATTCTTTCGAAATAAAGATACTCTATAATTAACATAACTTAACACGTCACTTTAAATTCAATAATAACATTATTTCGATAACAAACACGTCGAAATGATGATGATTTCGTGAAAATCCTTCTAATAAGTTTTATGAATAAGTGCATTTTTATGTAATAAATAATATATGTAGATCGGATAATTTTCCAGGGATAAATAATCACTATTTAATTTTTTATTTTGTTTAATTAATTTTAATTTTTACTTGCCTAGCTCTCATAGTTAATTAAGTTTCCGCGCGCATCCAATTATCAATACAATGATCGCACTTTAAACGGCACTAGCCTTTACACATATATTATATTACATCGCAAGATGTAATTTATAAATGTAATTTATCAGACGTGTAAAACGGCATCTACAATGAGACTTCAAAGTGTAAAATTTAAACTTTAAGTTGTAAAGAATTGACCAATCACAGTCGAATATAAAGAGAATAATCGGCTATGACTATAGTTAATATCTTACAGTTTAAGCTTAAATTTCACGTTTTAAATCTCATTGTAGATGCTTAACGCGAAAAAGAATGAGGATAATAAAGTTACAATACACTGTTCCTTTATTTTATTGCTACTTCCTAATTCTTGTGTGTTCAACAAGTTCGCGAAATATAAAACATTATCTATAAAATCTCGATATATTACATCATGTACTCGCTATACTATAATTAGTTTACTACTTCGCACTCTCCATATACGTAATGATGAGGAAACTCTGTTCAGATATTTAATATTACTACAAAAGAAAAGATCGCGTGAGATAATATTTTGCAAGCAGCCGTCGCTTCAACGCGTCGTTCACGAACGTTAAGTGCAAGAATTAATTGGCTGCACCGGTGAACGATCGCTGATTATTTATAGGAACGTTTGCGTTTTAAAGAGTAACATGGAGCGGTTCGAAAACTCCCAGTTTATTCGAGTGTCATCGTACGATTACTCTAAAGCGGCGTCCACAATGAGATTTTATGACGTAAAACTTAGTTTTAATCCTTAAGTTGTAAAAAATTAACCAATCACAGTCGAATGTGTGGTCAACTACGATTGGTTAACTTTTTATGGCTTAAAGCTTGAAGTTTAAATTTTACATTTTTTAAATTTCATTGTAAACGCCGTTTTATAGTCACCCTCTTGCGTAAACACCGCGCTGTAATCAGATGTCACAGACATCAAGAACAATGAACTTACGTTTCGAAATATTCAATATTTTGTAAAATATCATTATGTTATTAATAAACAATAATTAATTACTTTGAGAGATAAAAAAATGCAGCGACGAATAATGTAAATGGATCATATATTCGTTTTATACTTGTATGTACATAATACCTTAGATATTTTTGTGGCGTAATGCTACGTTCAACTCGATTTTTATCGTCAAAACTAATGAAGTCAATTTTACCTATAGGAAGTGATGGTCGTTTGTAAATATTACAAATCAATTAAAACTTTGTCAGAGTTCCTAAATTAAATTCTGGCCGCAAATATAACATAAAAAAATGTCACCCTGACTCTCAATATCTATTTGTTAAACTGCATCATATCTATCTGAAGACTAATTTCAATCGAATTCTTCAACAAAAATACAATTATAAAACAAGTTTGAAAAAATAAGTAACGTTCTAAGCGGCAAAAGGCTACCTCGTTTCGCATGGAAATATCCTTATGCATGTAGTTATAAGGATTCATGTTGTAGTTGTCTCAATTATCGTTTATGTTAAACGCTCCAAGAATTCCTTAGAAGCGAACGAGCTTTCGGTACTTCCCTTCGTATACGAGTCACGTTCACAAATGTGTCGCCGCTATTTTGTCGACTTAATGCATGTTTTAAATACTGTAACACTTTGCATAGTCGCCCACCCATTTGTATAATATAATGCACAGGAATTTAACTATATATCTTATAAATATGTCATTGTATTATGATACGTATTAACGTGCATTACAATTGATTAATCCTCCAAAGCTGACGTCAAAATTTCTAACAGTTACTGACGCTGTCTGTGAGACCCATTTAACCCTCATCTGCAATCTGCCTTTTTGTTATTTTAGACTTCCAAAAAAATATGGAAAATTTAGAATTACTTTTCAACACCTCTATTACATTATCAAATTGTTTTTTAACGAGATATTTTAAAAGAGATACTCGGAGATTCTATTTTCATTTCAGATAAATTTATGTGTGTGTGTGTGTGTGTGTGTGTGTGTGTGTGTGTGTGTGTGTGTGTGTGTGTGTGTTTGTGAAACGCTTGTGCTAAAAAAGACCCAGATTGCAAACAGAGGATTAATTTAGGTTAATTAAAAAGCACTAATTAATTTCAAGAAACCAAAACATAACTTATATAACAAAAATATATATATATATTTGTACTTGAATACTAAGTTATTTTAATAATAATAATAATTCAAATTTACAGATGCATGTAATATAAAGAATATAGGTAATTGGAGTGTGGTAGATAACTATAGATGGAGGATTAAGAGAAACGTAATTATTTATTATACCTCAATGCGCCAATACGTGATTCAGTTCATAAAATTATTGCGATTATCACGTAATTATGTAACTGTCAGTAATTCAAAATGCGAGATTCGCAATTAAGTGCAAGACGCTTTCGTCGTAAGTTCTAAAACGCATGGGGACTGTCAAGACGGCGGTTTCCTGCATTTAGATTGCGGACAAAAACGAAACGGGAAAGAATGGCGACGAAATAGAATAAACGGGAAATGAAAAGGTATAGAATTTCATATCGCGATATTCTCATCCGAGAGGATACCCAGGTTACTTTTCAAATAAAAAAGGACAGAAACCAATTTAAATTTCCATATAACGTCGCTCGTCTGCGGACGTGCAATCTATCCACTGTTATATCGTACACAGGAGACACACAATCCGGAGTTTCTATTTGCATCAGTGGCTTATACCGTTGGTTTTTTCTGGGTTTTCTTCTAGCAATCAATTAAGGGGACATTAGGCTAGACTGCATTTCTAACTAATTTCACGTGTCGTTTAGCCCGGCAAATAAAAGAGCGATTTACGGAGATATATCTTTAGATATTTGGGTTAATCAGATACGCAAGAGAGAGAGAGAGAGAGAGAGAAAACTTACATTATCGTACTTTCTTCAGCTAGTCGGGCATGTTATCAAAGGCGGTGGAATCGCCATTTCGGGACAGGAACAACGACAGTTGGGTGGCGGTTTCTTGGAAGGCGAAGGCGCGCCACCAGGTAAGAATATTTTATATCGATCACTTAAAAATAAAAGAATTACAATTATCGAGTTTCAATTATTGATAATAAGATTTACCGTTTCAATATACGGAAGAAACAGTTTTGCTGAAAAATTTAGCTAAATACAGAGATCTGAAAATAATTTTATTGAATCGTCAAAATAATTATGTAAAACGCTTAAGTATTGATGCCAATGATGCAAAAGGATTTAACATTCTATACTGACAGCAAAAATGGTTATAATTATCAGTAATATATAACTATAATTTATAGTAATTTTCAGTGCCAATTATTTTCTCACAGAATTATAAGCATAATTATAATTACTAAAATTATAGCAGCAATAACTATATAAAAATAAAGAGGTCTTAAGCATAATTCTTTTATCATACAATTATAGTCGCACATATGAAAACACTTTTTTTCAGTGTAGCAAAACTAGTTTGAGTATCCTACATAATTATTTTAATGCATCAAATAAAATTATTTTCTATATCCAATTTTTAAATACATATTTTAGTAAAACCGTTCTTCCATGTAGTGAATTAATTGTCGTAGGTCGAATTATGCAAACGACCTCGTGACGATGATTTATCGTCGCGACGCGCATCTGTTGACTAACGTCTACTCTCTTCCAGGTTCCGGTGGCTATTTAGGAGAACTGACGATGGTACAGCTCTATAACGTTGCCCTGACCGCGGGCAAGGCGCACAAAGATCACAAGCACCATCACGCCCATCATTACGAACACGACACTAGTAATAACACGCCGAGAACCACCACGCTGCCGCCTGTAACCGGACCTCCCTTGCCACCGCATCCCTACCTCACTGGAGGGCAGATCAATACACAAGTATAATCACGTTTTCTCACTTCGTTACACTCGAGAGCGCCCGCGTGTGTGCTTCCGCATCATCAAGCTAATTACCTTCCGTCCCCTGATTAGCGTCACCGGAAACGAGACACGGAGGCATCTAAAGAACGTCCGAGGGAGTATCCGAAAAATTAGAACGTCCTGTTGAATGTTTTCACGCATGGAAAGAACAATTTTCTTAAAATATCTAAAAATTAAAGTAGATACACACACAAATCTAAAAATAATTTTATTAAATTATTAAAATAATTTCTCTCGAGCGCGATGAGCAATGCTGCATAAAGTTTCGACATTTTAGTGATCAGTTTGAGTGTTCTACATAATTATTTTGATAGTCCAACAAAGGTATTTTCAGATCCATATTTAGCTAAATTTTAAACCGACATATATAATTAGCACACAATTTGCTTGAACTATACTGTTATATAGTTATCAAATGAGCTGTATAGTAATTTATTGAAAAGTAGTAGCAACGGAAATAATTAAAAACAACTTACATTGAATACATTTTCTTTGACATTGTAAGTTTAACAGTAAATTGTAAAAATTCACATAAAAATATTTTAAATATGTATAAAGTCGGCTTTAATCGAGTGCCTCTCTTCATGCATTTATGATAAATTGTTAATATAATTTTTAATATTAAACACTTCAGCAAAATCGTCCTTTCCATGCGATTATTTTGCGTATATATCTTGTTGCGATGCCTTTTGTAGGACATATGTACATACGTCCCACTTGAGACGTGTTGAGACCCCGCGTTCAAGGTATTATTTCTCCTTAACACTTCGCCACGCTCAATTGAGCATGAATGTTTCATACGTGCGAACGACGTTCCAGGTGAGGATCAATCCCGGGGCACCGATTCAGGTCGTACAAAACGGCCTGACCATCCGTCATCCGGCATTACCGCCGGTCCCGGAATCACCCCCACAGCCGCTCCCGCCCTTGAACCTCGACATTTTCACGACACCCTTCCCCGCGCTGCCAACGCAACGCTTGCCCGCCGCTACTAGACTGTCGTCGATCTTCGATGGACTTTATCATAACCTCTTTAAAAGAGAGAAAAATGAGTCCAAGAAACGAGACATCAAGAACGAGACGGCGATGTCGAGTCTGACTGAGTCCGAGAAATCAATCGCAAAGAGAGACACTCAGAAAACTTCGACAGAAGCTAATACTTCCGACAGCAAGGTAAGCGTGATTAAGAATCTATTATGTAATTCTTAACGATATTATTATCAAACGATTGCCGTTAATAAACAACTTTTCCTTTTTATAAATGATAATGTTATTTATTAATAACAAAATAATAACAAAGTTGTCATAAATTCAACATTATTTTCTTAGCTGAGTACAAACGTTTAAAGTACTAAAATCATCTAATTAAATTGAAAATATTGTTCCATAAATTGAGATAATAACAAGAAAATAGAACGTATATAAATACGAAAAACACGAGATTAAGAGATTTTAGAAGATGTTTCATTAATATGTTTAACTTTACATATGTAAATAAAAACAGATATGCGAAAGACTTTATTCAAATTTAGGGTCTTTCTTTGTAAGCCTTAAATCTATTTTCACACAACATATTGTTACCTAAAGATTACCAAGAGATTTATTGATGAAAGTCATTTATGAATCTTTTGCCAACTTTTAAATAATCATGTATTATGAAAATGGACCTTAATGAGTTATTATTAAATGATTGACAGTAGTAGAGGACTTACTTATTCTATAATAAAATAGCGATGAAAGTGTGACCTATAGTAAGGAGATGTTATTGAGTTTAGGGCAATTTTATCGCTATTTTTTGTTATAGGATAAGAGAAGTTCCTTTACTAAAGTTCTGTTATTATTGAATGATTGTCGTTAGTAAAGAACTTATTCTGTAACAAAAAATAGCGGTAAAATTGTCCTGAACTCTCAACAACATCTCCCTAGCTAGCTAAGACAATTTTATCATTAGATACTTTAAGAAAAGTTCTTTACTAACAACAATCATTCAATAGTAGCGTCGTTAAAGATGACAGAATCAGGCCTTAAGTCTGAATTGAATGTTTCGCGTGTCGGTATCTACTTTTACCTATATTAGAGTAAACGTGTTTAATGGAACATCTTCATTATCTTTTTATCTATCTCGTGTTTTTCGTTTATATATATATTTCATTTTCCCGTTGTCACCTCAATTCGCAGAATCTTGTCCGTCTTAATTTGATAATTTTGGTACTTCAAACATCAATACTCGTTCGTGAAGTAATTCGGGAATTTTTCTCAGCGAATTAAACTGTAAGTTTCGATCTAGCAGTTTCCGACCTACTTAACGTAAGAAATTAAAAGACTTTGGGAGAATCAGAGTGAAAATAATCTCGGCGAACGTAATTGACTCGCCTGTACGATTTTTCTAAGATTTTTCATTGTATCGCTTCAAAAATCCGTTTCACACTGATTGTGAGTGACTCTCGCATTCTTTCCAGTAAACTTTTCAGTTGGAAACATTCTGACAATTTCATATTATTTTCGCTTTACGATAGACTAATTTTTTAAATCAAACATACGATTTAAATTTCTTCCAAAAAATCTTCGTTGAAAATTGTTTCAGGAAACAAATCAAACTTATTTTCTTTTGCATTTTTTCACAAAATGAGCAAAAGTATAATATATGTACTCTGTAAATACTGTAAATTTCTATTTACTCAACTATAGTAGCGCGTTACGCTTCATATGTCTCACGTTTCTCGAATTCTTAGGTATCTTTTGTGCCAAGAACGGAGGATGCGAACAATAAAACGTTAGGGAAACGCGACGCCGACAAGAAGAAGAGAGGTCTGTTGCAATTAGGCGATGGATCAATTCTCGACGATGGATACTCCATACCTCAAGACTTGGACAACGATTATTTCACGGGATTAACGGGTTATGGACTCCAGTTGACCAAGGGGACAAACGAGGAGGAGGAGGAGGAGGAGGAAAACGTACGGGAACCCGCCGAAGCTGAGGTCAGACTAGTGATGGACCTTTGCGACGGATGTGCCGACGAGCCGTTCGGAAAGGCGTTGGTCATAGGCTGGAGATCAGTGCCCAAGAAACTTTATTCCGGCGCGTTGTATTTACCGGCTATACCTGCGTGTAAAGCATTCTAATCAATCGAGACAACGCGATAAATCGCGCGCGAAGACGACATTACGGGACGTCGTATGAATTTTCGCTGAATTTATCAAGATACCCGGAAGGATCTACCCTAAAAAATATTAGGGTGAATTTAACACCCATGTGGTGTGTCTACACAATTCTCACTGTGTGGTGTTAATATTAATACCAACAAGATGAATTTACACCTCTGATATTTATATCAACACCATCATGGTGTGAATTTAAAATCGATAGTTACTGAATTAGATTAAATTCATATCATGTTAGTGTTAATGTTAATACTAACGCAGTAAGAATTGTACAGACCCCACATGTTAAATCTACATTAATATTTTTTAGAATGTCGCGCCGCATCGCGCCGAATAACCATGTGAACCCTCGACGTCACGATCGACGAAAGATCGATGATCTCTCGAGAACGAAATGTTCCCAGGTATCCCACGCCATGTTTTAGACCGCTGAGTATCTTTAGTTGTTACGGGCGAAGATGTTTGTCACGCAATCTTACGATTTTTCTCTCTGTTGTTTATTAAATCTTGATTTTCTCGTGTTTAGATGATGTAGCAGAATATTTATTCATTTATTGTATCTTCGTAAATGTTACAAATATTCGAAGATGTAAGCAATATTGCCATGAAAAAAACTTGTGCTGGACAAAACATCTTGCCGATTGTATTTATTTGCAATTTCCGACCGATTAACTGTATGACAATTAAGTCTGAAGCTTCCAGTACTGTGAGGGCGAGTGCGGGGTCAATTGTGACAAGAAACAATCGCAATCCTCGTTAGCAGAAATAATAATAATTAATTTATAAAAATCTTGTAAAATCCTGTTTCAAGATATTAGAATCCTAATAAGTTTATTTGTGTACTCTTAGGGAGACATTCGACTACTTGTAAAAGTAAACTTGTAAAAATGCTACTTGTAAAAACATTAACGAAGATTTTAGTCGACCTGCATATTCTAAAAAAGTGAGTGTAGATTTAATATGGTTGAAAAATAAACAACAATATAAACATCAACATGATGTGAATTTAACATTATGTTGGTTTTCAAGTATAGTGTTAAATTCATATCCACATTTTTTTAGAGTATACAAATCGGCTGACCTCGTCAATATTTTTACAAATAACATTTTTACAATTTACTTTTACAAGTAGTTGAAAGTGTTTCTCTAATAAAAATATGCACCGAACGTTGCGTACACAAATAATTCGTCCACAAAGATAGAATTTTATTAATTCAAAAAATGTTTATTGATGTGAAAGACGATTGACGTAATAGAAGAGCAGTATTATATTGTAAGTTCGAAAAACTGATCAGGAATAACAGTCGCTTTTGACAGAACACTCATCGCGATTTTAAGGTGTGTGCTGATCGATTGTCCCCGGCGAGAAGGGAAACTTAATTACGCGACGGAAATCGTCTTGATCGATCAGTAACGTACGCCTCAGTTGCTTAAGCTCGAGACTTAGCCCTAGTGGTGTATATGTATTTGTGTACATGTGATGTATGCCGAATAAACTTTTATAAACCGTTGCATTATGTTCTTTAATTTCTTAAAAATTTTCTAACACAGTACATCTTTTAATATTATTAATAATACATATTTCACACACATGATACTCTCTCCTAATTAATAAATCTTAAAAAATATTTCTATAAACACGCGATCTTTCTTTAAAAAACGATTGTGTCTATTTTAGATTCGATTGTTTTAATCGCATAAAAAAAGTAAAATTTATTATTTATTCAAATGAAAAAGAATATCTTATAATGTCCTTTATATTTATATCTCTGCAGTCATAATTATGAAAAATACGTTCTTTATGAATATAAAGTACACAGAGAGTGCAAAAAGAGAGTACACAATTTATTATTTATTTTTTCAGATAAAAAGAATATCTTATGATGACTTTTATACTTATATCCCTTCGGATATAATACAAAATATGTTCTTTACAAATGTGATATAAAATGCAAAATTAAACGAAAAAAATTGTCCCTCTAATGAAGTACTCGTAAACATTTTACTACTATTTTATAATATTCTCTTACATATTCAATTAACACAGAATATTCCCAATTTAGCTCTCTTGAGTGAGTCATATACTAAAATATAATTACCAAATTTTCATAATCCTATTTTGCATGATAGGTTGAGGAAGATATCTTTCCAATGTAATATTGCGTTATAACGCAGGCTATGTTACGTAAAAAAACTGAATAAAGATACCTAACTAACCAATCTCGTCTTCGCGAAGAAGGAGGATAAAAGCGACGAACTAAGGATGGAGGCTCGTTAACTCGCACTTACCTTGCTCTTGTGAATATGCTGATGCTGATATTCGCTGTCAAATTCTGGTTCGCTGAAGTAGCTCTGATCTTCCCAATGGGGAGGCAGACCGCCGCCGCCTCCTGGCACCCCCAGGGGCCCCGGCATCCCCGTCACTCCATCGGCACTCTCGAAAAGTCTCAGGACACTGCGATCCCTGATATCTCTCAGGTGTGATCTAAAAATCAAAACGACCACTTTTATATTGCGCTGCAGCGCAATCATTGTTCCTTTATTAGAATTCACCATCAAAACAAATACATTCTTTTCGCATATTATCATGACAAAAATTAAATAAATTGGAATTAAACAACTCTCTATGCAAAGCTTCTAAAACATCTCAATAACGAATATTTGTATAATAGATTTTGTTATAAATGAAAAATGGTTTAAATTATTTGTAAAGTAAAATATATTTAGTAACAGGCTCTTTGAAATATTATTTAGCCATTTGAGAATAAAAAATAAAATTCAGCAGAATGAATTTATAATGACAAAAAAGTGTTACCTTAGATCTTCGAGTTCGTAGAACATGTCCTTGTTGCTATCGTGTATGTAAACTTTTACATGAGGACTGTCCAGGTATTCCATAGTGAGTTGTTTCGGAAAGCTTCTGACGAAAAGAGCCTTGACGGTGTCTATACTGGTAATCTCGTTCGGCAGCAACGCTCTCTTCGTCTCGTTCCTATACTGCAGGAACACCAGTCCTATAAAGTACAGAAATCATTTGTCAGAAATGCATTTGTCTCATGCTCAAGTCACCAGTGGCATACTTAGGACTGATGTCAGTGATTATCCAATGATTTAGATTTAGAGAGTATTTTTTATGTTCAATATATATCACAAATTACCTAGTGGTCGCTCCAAAGTCTTGCTGGGTGTTCGTACGACGGGTAGGCTGCTTCTTTGCTTGCCCCCTCGCCGAAATCCCGTGCTAGAGGTCTCCACCTCGGACATGATGCCCGGGTCGTCATCGAAAAGCATCGTCGAAGACGGGGGTGGATAGCCACGCGGAAGAGGCGACTGAAAGCACGTGAATTCGGTAAGGTTTCGATTCATTTATGATCCACGAGTTTATTTACGATCCTGTTATTGTATCATGAATTACTTATCAGTGGCATTCGTAAAGAAGAAATTATACGAGTCACTTCCTATATAGCACCAATTGTTGCAAAAAGCTTTCAGAAAAGTTGTAAAATCATTTCAACCATTCACGTTTTATGTGCAACAATTCTAAAAGAATTCTGCAATGTCATATAAAATGTTAAAACAGAAATGTTTCTGAAATAAACTTGAAGAGCAATCGCCGTGTGCTGTTAAATAAACGCAGAGGAGTTTTTATTTCTCATAAGTAAAAAATTAAAACGCAAGATGAGATTTTTTATCTGTGTTTTAATAATATGAAAAGACGAGCCCTTAAAATTAAACTTCAAGATAATAAATAAAATGTATTTTAAAAGTACACCAGTTTCGTTTAGCATTTTATAAAAATTATATATAATAATTCAGGAACATAATATTTCTAAGATTTAAAGGATTTGATATTCTTAAAATTTGAAATTTACTCTGATAAATTTTCAGCAACATTTCTAACACATTTCAGAGAGGTATTAGCCATTTCAACAACCTTTCGGCAATATTTAAGAATGGTTGAAATTTTTTTCAATAAAATTTCAAATGCAAAAATCGCGAATATTTTATTATTCCAGATTTGTCGCAGAGCAGAAACATTTTGTACTATTTTTGAGATATGTTTCAATTTATCAGTGAAACTATCTCTGAAATACCTCTGAAAGATTTCTGTACTGTTTGGGTTAATGTATTTAGAGACGACATTCCTGTACGTATTTAACTCAATTTTAATATAAACCAAATTAGCACTAATCTTTAATATTACCAATTTATGCTGATTAAAAATTCGAACATATTTATAAATTGATTTGCCAATCGATAATGAAAATTGTGAGCATTTGTGCGAATGCGTACGAAATTGCAAATTTAGCGTGATTTGTATGTAAAGGCGCTTGATTACTCTGTAATAAATCTTTAACCGCGATCATTATTATATGTATAGATGTCTTATATAATTATTGTAAAAATGTAGCGCATTTAAATAACCGATATATCAAATAAGACTCGCAATCAGGTATTAAAAAAGATCAAATCCTTCTAATTTATATTTTCGGTATAATTTATTCAGTTATCTCATATAGCACAAACCTTCAAGGAACATCCTAACACGTTCAAAGGAAAAGTGTCCTCTGAAAGTCTTAAGTCATTTCTAGGATGTCTCTCGGATAAAGTGTGCTACATAGGATGTTACTCAAAATTTTATTACCTGCTGCTATGAATACATTCACAAAGATATTTTCTGAGCAAGTAATTAAACACACCGGTCAACTCGAGAACTATGTAGATGCCACTTAGAGAGAAACGATCGTGTCAGCATGCCGACATGCACGTTGACGGAGAAAAAAAAAAAAACTGATTCCGCAGGCAATCTTGCGTGAAAAACAATGAAAATTAAAAAATTACCTTTCTCTGGCGAGACTTGGTCCCCATCTGTCGGCGGCACGGCGGCGGGTAACACGGAAACACACACGCAAAGTAAAAACCAGTTAGATGTGTGATATGTCGCGGGGGGGTAGAAAGAGGAGGGAAAAAGCGGAGAAAGAGGAAGAAAGAGAAAAGGAAAACCGGGAAAACCGACAATCAACCGGAAACAAGCGTTTCGAGGAAGGGATCGAGTACGAAAAGCGCCAATCACTAGCGATCGAGTTGCTCTTCGTTGACAGGTCGGTCATGTAACTCGAGCGTAAATTGCGGCTGCAAATACACAGGCAGCCAAGCTTCCTGCTCGTAACAGAAACATGTTCCACGAACCGTTTTTCAGTTTTCGAAGCGCATGCCAAAGTGTTCGCGATGATCGAATCGTTACTTCTAGCGTAACATCATCCTCACGCTTCGTAAATCGGCAATTATATCTTAAAATGTTAATTTCCTTTGGGTGCGTCCAAAAACGCTACCCGGTACTCGTGTCTCGGAGTATCATTTTATCCTTGTTAAACATCGGCGTCTAACAAAGATAAAGAGATTAGAGACTTTGATAATGTTTTCGAACATGTGTGTGTATATATACACATAAGCCATGAAAAAATTATGTTCAAAAACATTATCAAAGTCTCTAATCTTTTTATCTTTGTTAGACGCCGATGTTTAACAAGGATAAAATGATACTCGGAGCTCGGAGGCACAAGTACCGGTAGCGTTTTTGAACGCACCCAAAGGAAATTAACATTTTAAGATATAATTACCGATTTACGAAGCGTGTGAGAATGATGTTACGCTATAGAAGTAACGATTCGATTATCGCGAACACTTTGGCATTCGCTTCGAAAACTGAAAAACGGTTCGTGGAACATGTTAATTAAATATATATATATATATACATACATAATGTATATATACATATGTACACACAATGATTTTTAAGAGATACGCAATAATGTAATTTTTAAATACAGTTAAAAAATAAAAGATACATACAGCAGCGTGCAAAAGTTTTCGACCAGTGAAAGAAACCTGATAAAATTTTAATCATTGTTAGGCGTTAGTATAAGATTTCATTAAACACGTCTTGTACTATTATAACACCTGGTAAATGATTACAATTCTATCAAACTTTTTTTTATCGATTAGAGTACAAAATATCTAAGCCGGAAACTTCTGCACGCTACTGTATACTCGTATGTACTTATGAATCCAGATATGTGGAAATACGGAGTGCATTTTCTCTCTCTATCGTATTTTTTCTATATTTAAATATCGCTTTCTTAATTCTTACTTCAAAAGTGATACAACTCGAACACAATTAAATTTCTTAGAAAAAAATATATTTTTCAAATAAACAGAAATTACTGATTGATTAATAAATATCGACAAAAACAATATATTCCTGTAACATGATTATTTTTGTCGTTTTCTCCTCATATTCCTTAAAGAACCACTATTTTTTAATTATGATAATTTTTTACGAAGTTAAATTAGTTCACTTCTGATGACTGTAATAATCTGACATCTTTGATGACATCTTTTGGGATAATTACTTAATTCATGATAATAACTCGGAAATCATGTTTTCTATTTGTGTCACTTTTAAAGTAAGAGCGCGATACGATGTGAATATGTAATTAAATATATACATATATTTGTTAAATTCTCAATATAATATGTAAATGAAATAAAATATATAAATGCAGTATATCTAGACATATCAGAATATAAACGATAATTTTCATCATTATTCCGTCAGGAGATACGGCTACATGTAAAAGCAATTAATAGCAGCTGTGGTTAAAAATAAATACTCGCAGTGAGTTTGAATTACAATCCTGTCCCTTGTATGGGATTTCCCGTTATTTCCTGGATATATGTAAATATATGTATACGCTAAAGTGCTATACATTATGTAAAAGAAAATGCGATTGCGCGAAGATACTCCTTATTTCCGACACATTAATTTGTTATAGCTACATTATCGCATTCGTTGTAAAAAGCTACAAGAACTGCGAGGTCGGTGCTTATGATATGCAACATTTACGTACGCAATTCACGTTCGAGAGCGGGACATGTGTTAAATACCTGGAACGATGTCGGCAACGCTTTTAGATAAAAGATTAAAAGGTAGGAAAGACAAGAGGAATAGAGAGAGAGAGAAGGAAAAACTGAGTACCCGTTACACGTGAATGCATAACTATAACGAAGGGTTAGGGTCGTTGTGCGCGACGAGCTAACCAAAGGGAAAGATAGGGATAAAGATATATATATTTATACATATGTATATAGTGCGAGGAAAAAAGCGAGATTGCTGAGCTTGCTTGCTTTTATCGTGGACACGTTTACTAGCTCTTTGACTCACATTTTCAACATACAGATTTTCATACTATAAGATATACAACGTTATCGTATTTATAATAAATAATTACTTTGCGAGCAATTATAAGATGTAATTCAATGTTTCCTAAAAGAATAGTAGTATAATACATATTATAGTCTCTTCAAATTATGTAGAGATAAAATAAGATGTATAAAGAACGATATTTTCTAAATACTTAAAATTTAACTAAATATACAAATCTGAAAATAATTTAAAAGTTGAAATCGTCAAAATAATGCAGGATGCTCAAGTTGGTTGCTAAAATGACAAAACTTTTTGCAGCAGTATTCATTATGTTTGAATTTCCTACATAATTATTATCTAACAAAATTATTTTCATATATTTACTTAAATTTTTAGGCTTTAGAAAATCAATTAAAGAAAAGTAAAAATATCAAAAAACTTTTATACATTTAGAATTTCAAAAAAGTTAAATTAATACATTTATTAAATTATTTGTAGATATATCATTTACTGCATCAATTCCCTAAAGCTTATTTAGAATTTTACTTTTCTTTTTTAATTATCGAAGTTCTATTGGTTTATTATTTAAATATTTTAAATTTAAATTCCCCAACAGTAATGTAAGGGAAATTTTGTCTGTCGTTTCCGTTTAACAATCAAACATTTTAATATAGTAATGAGTGTACTATTAAATTAATTTTGTTAATCTGTTTGACATGTGTGTGTGTGTGTGTGTTTTCTAAACGCAATAAACATAATTGACTTTTTTAGTTGACTTTTCCTCGGCAAAATGATTTTGAAAAAGCGATTCCATGACCATTTTGAGCGATGTAATTCCGTGATTCGAGGCGTAATCTTGTTTTTCGCGTAACCATGTCGCGTTGTATCGTAACAGAGGATGTTATGAACCGAGCGGGTCGCCAACTAATGGCAAAGCTGGAGAACATGATGACGTAACGCTCGCATGTTCGCTATCTCGAATGTGCACCACCTGTGCTCGAAGTTCGATTATCCCCTACAAACCGCAGAGACACCCCGAGGATGTTCAATAACCACGTACCAAGAGTTAATCGATCGTGCAACATCCGTCCAACACGACTGCTATAATCTTCAGATCTTTTGAGTACGTCATACGAAGCGTAAGATTTAACGACGTCTATCTTACTAATTGCAACTAATGATAATAAAAATAAATAAACAACAAATAGAAATTCATTCGCAGAATTGGTCATCAGTTTAATAACATTGTCTTCTCGAGTGACATAAATAAATTTGTAAATTTTTTAATTTGTAAGTATTTCTTGCGCAAGTTAGTTTAATTACGAATTTAACAATCATCAGATATGTACATATTAAATGTTTATACAAATACAAATTTTACACGATATTGTAAATAATGATATACATCTAGTTTGTCGATATTACAGATATTATACAGTCTATATAAAGAGGAAGCCAAAGAATATTATATATTTATTAATCATTTATAATCTTCGCAGTATTTATTATACGCGTACAAAATATATACAGGATTATAAGATAATAATAATATTCTCTCATTTTCTCTCTTATGCATCTATTTTTCATGTTAATAATGATTTTGTGAAAACAAAGGTAATTAAATTTTAAATGACCTCAATATTTTTATTGGTTTTTAAATTATTTTGAGGTGATAAATTCAATTTTGATGTTGTATTCGCTAATAACAAGATCAGTCTATATTTCTTATTCAAATAAATGTTTCTTTAAACGTGTAAGTATTTTGAACTTCTCTGACTTGTTAATTTTATTGAAATATATTTATAATGGTTGCTACCACTAAAACGTTCAAACGTTAAAGATGCAAACCCTAGAATATTTCGCAGTTACTAAGCGATTATCGTTAAAAGTTTATAAACATCCAGGTAATTAAAATGCAGAAAAATGAGTCAGAAATCTGGGACATATTAAGAGGACAGAGTTATGTAGATACGTTTACGTTCAATATATCGGTACCCTTCAATTATCGGAAACGATAAACGCAAGAAACGAGGACATCGTAGATGCATGATAATTAATTAACCGCTTCCTCTCGTTACCGGCGCGGCGGTTCTTGACCGCGTAGTGCCCGCTAAAATAATAAGCTGCGGGTATTACATAATAGTTCCAGTTAACGTGTAATGGTTAAAAATTTTTTTAAACATTAGTCGCATAAAATATCTAGTTGATACTAAAGTAAGTCATACAGAAACATAATACGTGTGCTATTTTCATTAAATACTATACTGTTGTAATATGTAGACTAGGTTATTCCACCTTACGGTTAACTTCAGCTTACTGTCTTACCATTTTACGTCGGTTCATCGTCGATTCTTAGATTTGAGATTATCTCAAGTACAGTTTTAAAACGCCATGAGCCAATCAGAGAGATGTATATTAATGTCTTAAGATATTATTTAAGATATTATTAAAACGGCCTTAAAATAAGAACTATAAGTACTGCTTATACTCTTTTATGCTCTTACTCTTTTACTCTTTCGTATATTCAGTAGATAAATTACCACAAATTATTTATCCAAAGATGGAACAACCGATCCTTAATAGCATAAGTTAAATACGATTAACATATGATATAAATGATACCATCAAACATCGCATGTGCACGAATCATATTTTACTTCAACAATATTTCCTAATAAATAATGTACAAGAACATTGCACGCAAATGATACGGTAATCTTTTATCTATTATTAGGTTTAACAGTATTACGGTGCATATTATGTGTCTTATGGAAGTTTTGCAATAACGTCATAAGAGCTTAATTGCATCATAAGTTTGTACGTTCATCAATTATGAAAAGTTTAATTATGCATAATAACGATTCGCGGAGTACATTATGAGATAAGAATAATATTTATGTCTTTTAAAATCAATATAAACACAGAACTCTCTACCACGGAAAGAACAATTTTACTAAAGTTATCTAAAAAAGAGAGTACAACTTTTTTTTCGCGATCATTCCGGGAACGTTATACCTCTACATAAGAAAATGTAGAGGTGAAACGATCCCCGAACGCGAATTATCTCTTCTCATGGAAATCGCAAGTTATCATAATAATAATGCAATACTCAAGGAAAAATTGATACATTGAAATAAAGTTGGTTCACATTGTTACAAAATTGCTGTCAGTTATGCTTTTATTACTTAAAAACTAATTCACATAGTTAGATCAACAATCTGAATTTGTTTTTAAATAATTAAAACATAACTGACAACGATTTCGTAACAATGTGAATAAAAATTTTATTCTTTATTTCAATACCAATTTATTGAGTAACGTATTATTATGATAATTTTGTGTTTCCACAAAGAAAAATACATAAAAAAAATGTAGAAATAAAACAATCCCTGAATGGTCGCAAAAAAAGTAAAAATTGTACCTTCTTTTCCTAAATAGAGATCTAAAAATAATGATTAAATCATTAAAATAATTATATAGGGAACTCACGTGCAATGAGCAATGCTGAAAAAAAAACTTTAACAATCTATAGCAATTAGTTTCAGTGTCTCATGTAATTATTTGGATGGTCCAATATCACACAATAATTTTCAGATCTGTATCTAGTTAGATTTTTAAATATTGCATTTCAGTAAAATTGTTCTTCCCATGTAGAAGAAGAATTCGGTTTACCCTACAATGCGAAAAGCAAAATCAATTCTGCTCCGTTTTACGGTGCATTCTTCAGTTTACGCTTGATCGCGCAAAAACGCGAACGTTGTATAACTTATAAGACGGATGTTCCTAAAGCAAACAGTATATGTACTTTTCTCTGACGGACCGAGAAAAGGGAGGAAGTTCGGGGCGAAAAGAGTCCGGGACGAAGAGCAAAATGTGTATGCATTCACGTGCGCCATAAATAAAACGGTGACCCTCAGTACGATCGAGTAGACCCGTGTGGTTGTCTTGAATGAAACATTCTCAAAATGAAAAATGTGTGTTCCCCAGTACGGTCTCTCCTCGATGGGAAAACGATTTTCTCCCTCGTTGCACAAACGATGTACTTTTCCGTACATACATTCGGGTAACTGAACGTTTGCCATAACCTTGGAAAACTACGGGGAATAACCCGTATTTATCGAGATTATCAAAGTGCCTGAACGTAAATAATACGCCGGTAAGTATTTTATTTGCGAATAAAATGCGACTTTATTATATATATATATTTTTTTTTGTCAAACAAAATAAGCAAGGTTTTCATTTTCAATTTGGTGTATTGTTTTCGTAAAAGTGCAAACTCATGCAGCACACTCGGACATGTTGCATACGTGGACGATCCTAAATTACGCTGGCACGTAAAGAGACGCCAGCGAAACTAGAGTGCCGTTGATAACGTCCATGCATTCGAGGATCATTTTTACGCTGATTTCTGATTTGTCGAAAATACGAGAGGAGTAGATGATAAAATAGTTTTTCAAATTATCTTTCTAATTTATCATTACATTATAATAAAATACGATTAAACTGCACAAGCAGAGTACTTGGAATAATAAATACTTTACGTAGATATCTCAATCTGTAATATTTATATTTTATTTGATCTACGCGTAAGAGTTAAAGTTTTCTTTTTAATTTCGCACTTTTCTAAAAACAGATTTAATTACTGTAGTCACGGGATATTTATTTATGACATTATAAAGAATCATTCCGTGTAGCAAGGAAAACGTTCAGTCACTTGTCAAAAAGTCGAGTCATTTCGATACAGAAAAGAGGAAAGAAAGGAAAATCTTATTGAAGAAAATTTTGACACGATACATAAAGAGAGATCAATAGAAAAATATTATCTTATAAGATATAAAATCTGTTATATACACACACTTTATAGAGAGATTTTGTAACCGATACTTAGAAAATATATAAATATACCTGTATAACGGGTAATAATTAACATTACATGTAAAAATTGAACGAACAACTAAATTATTCATAAAATGTGGAAATATGTATCAAAAGTATAGAAAACGCAGAAACTAGAAACTCGTGTCGAAATTACGCGAAATGAAAGATACATACCATAAGTGAAGAGAAGGTAAAGAAAGCTAAGAAGGATTCCGTTTATAAGGTTCTGCTGTCATGATTTTATACTCAGAGAAAAACGTAGTGATAGCAACCATAAAAGCGAGAGCTACATCATATATATAATGTTTATATGTACACTGAGGAAAATGGTTGGTCGAATTAATTAGAATTCTGATTGAAAATAGACATCGGAAAATTCTAATTATTCATATAAAAAAAAATCTTCTGGCTCGTAAATTCCACATGAAATGTGTTTTTAACACAAATTTTTCAACTGTGTACTAAGCTTATACAAGCCGTCATTTTTATAGTTTGACCATCACTAGGTACGTTTGTTTCTTTGAGTGTAAAAGAGCAGACTCTCGTAAGTTGAATAGGAATATTGTTAATGTTGCGACAATAGGGTAAGCGTTAATGTGAGGCGAAGGAAATTGAAAATTGGGGGAGAAATCGATATTTGAGAGAAATCATCGCAAACAATAAGAATGTATATGTATTTACATGTTACGTGAGCAAAGATTCACCTCGAGATCCATGGTGGTGTGCCGTGAGGGCGGAGTGCCGTACTGGCCGTGATGTGGCGGCAAATGATGCGGATGAAGGGAGTGCAGCTGCTGTGCGTTGAATTGTTGATGATGAAGAGAGGGTTGATGATCGCCGCCGAGGGTGTGCCTCCTTGGCTCGTCCCTCGAGCGGCCGCTCCCGGAGGAGCTGCGTCCCCCCGAGCCACCCCCGCCGCTGCCGCCGCCGCCGACCCCCAAGACGCCACCGCCGCCTCCGCCACCGATGCCGCCGCCACCGCCAGACCGTCTGCCAGATGTGAGTTCGTTCGAGCCGGGTTCAATCTCTCCCCTGACAGATCCGCCTGCAATCATACATGTTTCCTGTTGATAATATCGTCATTGACTTTCAAGCGACTGCAATCAGCGATCAGGACAGTTCAGATAGAAAATTTTCACGAAACGAATTCAACGTACTTGATAGATATTAAAAATCAAGATGATCTTGTAGGTATTTACATTTAAACCTAAACATCAAACATTTCATGATTTCAATGTTCAACATATATATACTACTAATGTAATATTTTTCGTAGCAAATTCTTTATAATGGTTAAGACCACAAAGGGCAAGAAAGAATCTCACAAAGAAATTGGGCTTTTGTGAAATGTATTAATAAACGTCTCCGAAGAATCGAAGTAAATACCTCTGTAAACCCAGCGACCCATTTGGCAGAAAGTGATCACGACAAACCGAGAATAACGCGTTCGCGGAAGTAGCCGGAAATAGTTATCGGGTGACATGTGCGTGTGTATACACTGGGGAGCGTGTTCTCGCTTTAATTATTCTTCCCCGACGTAGGAAAAAGCGAGATTGTATTAAGTAATAATACGCCTGAGGAATACTCGGAATAATCACACTTCTCTGTGAAAAATTTCTGGTTAAAAATAAGCAAACCAGGAGGAGGTTCTTATCTCATATCACAATTCTAATTATTTTAACTAGAACTTTATAACAGATTTAATATTAAATATAACTAGAAAAAAAAATTCTTGTTTATTTTCAACCAGAATTTCAATTAACCCGACTTTTCCCAGTACAGGAAACTGGGATCACAAAGATAGATAGACACCTCACACGAGATACAACGTTTATTTCTCTCGGTCGGATGTGCCTTTGCCTGGTCTCTTCTCGTTTATGCTTCTTCGAATTGCTTGCGAAATAAACGTGAGAAGGATGAGAGAGAGAGAGAGAGAGAGAGAGAGAGAGAGAGAGAGAGAGAGAGAGAGCAGTCAACAGTTTCACAGTACGTTCGGGTCATTTTCACGGTAATTCCCGCGAAACAGGCGATAGGCTCGCGGAACACACATGTGGACATTCGTTTCCGGATTACAAAAGCGTCACGCCACCTCGTTTGTCCGGCGTCGCTCTCGACTTGATTAAATGCGAGCTCGCCGACGACTACGGCCTCTCATCGTTCTCTCTAAATGAACGTGCCCCCTGGGTCACAATCAATTTCGGCGAGTCCTAGTCACGTGAGGCTTAACGATGCAGGAAAGTTTGAGCGTGGATTTCGCGCGGAAGGAGCTTCGTGGGAAAGTGGGTCAACCCGTCAGAGTAGCGTAACTGAGAGAGAGCTACTGGACGGCGTCATCCTCCAATTAATGACGAGGTTCGAATTCCGACGGATCTACAAGACCGATTCAACCATCCTGACAGCGCAATTCCTTGCCTGGATGATCGAACATTGCGCATTTCGGTGTTGTGCGGTAGCCGTTCCAGGCGAACGTCAAATCGCTAGCCGGTAAACGTTACATTATTATTGTACATATCGAAGGCGCAATGGTAAGTGATATTTTAAAATAAAAATAGTTTTGTGACTTCTCAAGGACAAATCAAGTATATAGTAAATAAATTGCCTATACGAGTCTCGGCGGTTGTTAATAATATATTTATAGTGTGATGAAATTTTTAAGAATACATTATATGTAAATGAAAGCATAACATGAAAAGAAAGTGGAGTTATAGAAATTATGCATATTTATTTTGTACTATCCTAATTAAAATGTTATTTTAATTTAGAAGTTTAAACATGCTCTACCGAGAAGAGAGACAGCTGCTAACTTTGAAATGCATTCCTTTTTTTTTTTATCAATGTAGCGATATCGTATCTGTATAACTATAATCATTTCGTTAGATTCGGTAATAAGTACGAGAAATCCAAATCACAAGACGATAAAGTGGATTTATTGATAATTTAAAGACAATATTGGGTAACTTGATAACAGAAAGCTGAATACGGGCGTGAAAATTAGCTGCTGAATACAGCAAAGCTGCATGTGTATTTTACAACAATAAGCTATGCTAGTTTCTGTAACGAAGGAGTTTACGCTTCGAGGCTCGACATCCATAATTGGCACAAGTAAACTATAGTCTAGGAAACTACTTTGAAATTCCTAACAAGCATGTAACACGAACGTAAATCGTATCGCACAGTATTATAAGATGACTATCAAAACGAAAGATATCACTCTTGACATTATCGCGTTAACCATAAAATATTATCCAAGATATATTCCATATATTTTACAAAAGAAACTTTTTAGCCGATTTTTAAATCGAAATATAATAATTATTAAAAATTCCTTAAATTAATATTTTCTTCAGTTTTATTTCAATTTGCAAGTAATATTAATTAAATATGTCCATTAACGTTTTCTCCAATAGATTGTTTTGTGTTTTAATTTAACGATGTAATATTACCTATTCGATTTTGTTATAACACGTGTCCGTCTATTAAAACGTCATCTGTCAATTTGCTCGACGGCTTTTGAAATCGAATACATACAGCACCACCGAACGAAAAATTATCATCCATAAATACTCCGGAAAATTGTCAGGAAAAATCATGTAAACGAGTAAAATCAAATGAAAAACTACGAAGAATAATATGTATAACAAATAATACAATATAAATGATCCTTTTATGGTTTTAAGCATAAAAAATGTCTGAATCTCTTCAGTTCCAAATTTTTGTTAATAAATTAAAATCGTAGGCTTCAGATTCATTAATATACTAATTCTGTAAATAAATATATGACTTACATAGCTTTTAATAAAGAAACTATAATACAGGGCAGAGCTATTTCATTCATTTGTCAGTTTTTATATTTCTGAGTGACGTGTACTGAGTATTTAAAAGTCATATTTGTGCTCTCAAGGAGTAAACGTTACTGCAAAAAGATATTTGTTGTTTCTGTAAATTTTATATTACTTTAAAGTTGAAAATGACGAAATAAGCTCGTTGTACTCTGTTACACATTCTCCATTACTCACATCAATAATTGAAATAGTCTAATATTAATTAATCGGCTTTCTGTGGATTTAATCTAATCTTCTCTAAGAAGACTAAAGTAGATCCTAGATTGGCCTACTTAGAGTAACTAGCTCTATTGTAGAGAGAGAGAGAGAGAGAGAGAGAGAAAAGGAGAGAGAGACAGATAATAATTTTAAAAAAATTATTCTATAATTGTTTATGTTAATAACCAAAGTAAAATTAAATTCAATATTTAACACTTTCATTTCATACTATTATAATAAAGATATCATTTATATAATATCATAAAAAACGTTGAATAATCCTTTTTTTGCATTATAAATAATACAATATTCGTTAAAAATTAAATATGGGAAATTGACTTCAATCTGATGTTTTAAAACTATTGCATCTAATAATACAGCTATCTTATAAAAGTAAGTCTACGTCGTAACCGAAAATCAGACGATCCAAGTTCTTACCAGTCCTACCCCTATAACGAATAAAATTGAATTTCCGCGTGTTTTGCTCCTCCGCCCCGGCGCTTATCGACCCTTCCTAATCTCCCTCGAAATCGCAAGTTGAATTTTTCTCGAAGCACCAATGTCGAGGCACCGATAATTTAATCCTTCTTTAATCTACAGTAGACCTCCACAAGATTTTAACCCGAGATTTAACAGCATAGTTATTCAGCGTTGGAAATTGGAAAAAAATTGCTACGGACGATTCTCTTCGACATTCTTCGACATTCAATTACAGGATAGATCGGCTCCAATTTGGAGAATCTGCCAATAACATTTGGTCTTTTTTTTTCTTCTAGAATATCCTCTGCTCGCCTGCGCCGAAATAATCCCAATAAATTAACACGCTCCTTCTCGAAATCGCGTACGCTCGGGTCCACCCCGTGTACACTGTGCATACACCCTATGTACATACACGTGCACGGCGGAGACGCGACACGTTATATACGAAGCCGGGAGGAGTACTGGCGACGATGACGACGAATATCCTCATACGCGTTTATTTTCAGAAACCAACGCTGAACGCGCGTGGTCGTCGAGAAATCTAATCTAACGCTCGGAAATTCGATAATCCATGGCCACAGATAAGATTCCGCATACATACGTATATATATATGTACATGTGTGTGTGTACATACGACTGGCATACCTGTCCAGCCGCTTCTCTCGTGTATCAACGACATCCTGATTTCCCCGAACGCTTGCATACAAAGTAAAATAACTAACATTCCCGATAACACATATCAAGTGAAACAACTAATGTACTCGATAACACAAAGGGCCACATGAAAAGTCAAAGTAAAGGAAAGAGAAAAATAATAGAAAGATAACGAATATTATATAATAAAAACAATATAATCCACAATCGAGCAATACAGAGATTTTGATTGTACTTTTTATTATAAATCATTATTCTCTTAAAATGCTTAAAGATTATTTACATTTGTTCGTGAAACGTGTACGTATCACGTATTTGTTACAGTAACGACATAACTATAGAAAAACTTTCCAAAAAATTAGTTCGAATATTTTGAGTAATTAAAATTTTGTAATATTAATTACAAGGGTTAATTACAATTTTGTAATGTTAATTACAAGTTTTAAAGTGTCATTTTTGTATGAAGAACTAATTGCAGAAAAACAAAAGTGTCGTTTCTTTTTTTCTTTGTTCTCATCGCAAGCAACGGAAAATAATAATTTTGAAAGTTATATAAATTTT